GTTACTATACAATACGGTACAGTATGATACGGTACAGTATGATACGTTACTATACAATACCGTACAGTATGATACGTTACTATACAATACGGTACAGTATGATACGGTACAGTATGATACGTTCTGTTTTGATTTTATATTTCTTTTATCTTTGTCCAAGGCCAGATTCCTCTCTGTTGTAGCTCAGAAGATGAAAGTGAAATATGTCGTCCTCAGGGTTTATGTTTTTGTTGCTTTCACTTTTGATTATCACTTAATTACTGAGGAAAAGTGTAAAGCTGCACTGCACTCAGCCTTTGTGAGATCTGTTGGGTTTATTGCTGCATCACTTATACAGTATGATACTCATCCAAAATCGTCTTTGTCTGCCAGACGAACTAATGAGAATTATTACTAAATTTCTTCTCAAAAATATAAATTTTTCTCAGAAATGTGGTTCTGACTTTTTGTTAGAAATAAAAAAGAATTTCGATTTCTTCTTAAAAATTATTCCTTTTCAGAATTTTGACTTTTTCACAGACATTTGAATTTTTCGCTTTACTTAGGAATTTTTCCTCACAATTCTGGATTTTTTTCAGGTAATTTGACTTTATTCAAATAATTTTGACCTTTCTCAGAAATGTGACGATAAGATTTCAGAATTATTGTTCTTTTACAGCAATATTCTGTATACTTGACGGGGGTCTCATTCTCTGCAGGGTCTCTGTGGAGCTGAGGAAGTTCTGTCTGAGTCCGGACTCCAGCACAGCTTCGTCAAGGAACATTTCCAGGCCCAGTACAAGTGAGTCTCCTCTCTCAACAAACACAAAAAACAAACAAACAAGCAAACAAACAAACACACCTGCCTGCCACAAAGCAAATTACACTTACAACAGAATAGCAACATGCCTCCTACTGTACATGTATGTTAAGGTGATCAATTACAGGGATTATTTTTGGAAGTTTCCTACCACCATGGGAATATTTAATGTTAATATTTCACTGTTTGCCAAACCCCTCCCCAAAAGGTAATTGTCCAATCCTTTCTTTGAAATATGGAGGTATATTTGTGTTTTTGCAATCAGAAGTCTTTTTTTTGTCCCCCAGCAGCAGAATTTGAGTAGTTGTATATTTCATTCTGTTTCGTCTGCAAATAAATAACTTGCTGAAAGTATAATTTGATGATGGCTTTACCATAACATATATAGAAATTAACGTAAACCGTGTTATTAAATGCCCAGTGACTTTTGTTTACTGTACAACAGCTCTACTGTTACCAAGTGGTCTTAATCACTTAATCATCAATTCTTAATCATCAGCTTTATTGAAGAGACTTTAGGTCCATTTTGAAAAGACATACAACACTAAAAATTAACAATGAATGTCCGACTGGCCTAAAAGACAAATGTCACAACTGAAACAGCAATTGAAAACACATCTATCTAAGACCAGTCCTTTTATAGGTCCAATAATAATGATATACCCACACAGTGTTGCTCTGTGATTTTAATATAACTTTATACAGACACAGCTGCCCGGGTAGAAGCTTAGTAAATATCCGCCTCGCTTCCAATAATTACAAAGCAGGCACGAGTATTAACACTAAAAGGTCTGCTAAAAACTGCTCTGGTACCCCAACTAAATCCCTTTACTACACATACTTATTTAGAGTGCTTACTTTATTTCTGCTCTGTGAAATGCAGCAATTAAGGATGTCAACTGTGCAAGTGGTCTAGTATTTACCGTTGTAAAACGCTGTGAGTCTGTCTGGTAGAATCACAAAGACTTATTTAATTGAACTGGTTACCGCTGGCAACTGTGGTGATGTGCAGCAAAGTCTCCCCCCTCCCCTCTGTGTAATCAACATGTGTAATGCAGCTGCATGTCCTCATGACTCCCATCAATCAGTCCTCACAAAGAGCAAGACCAATTCTGACGCGATACGTACATCTGTCAGCTGTGGCTCACTGTGACAGCAGCGTCGTAGAGTTTTTCTGTCCAAAAATCTGTGAGTTTTCTTCGAAAGAAACATTGGGAAGTATGCTCTGCAGAGATGGTCATGCTATAAACGTCATGGTTAATTATTCACAGCTTTGTGCAGCGATGGGTTTGCAATCTGTGATTTAAAATGTAGATGCTACTCCCTCTTGGATTGCTTCATACTATAATTTCCCCTAATGCTGTTCAATCTTTCTTTCTTACCCATGTTTGTGCAAATCTCCAATATGATACGATATGATGCGTATTGGGGGCGGCAGTAATGCAGTCTGGTGTGTTACGGTACTATACGTTACTATACAATACGGTACAGTATGATACGTTACTATACATCACGGTACAGTATGATACGTTAACATACAATACGGTACAGTATGATACGTTACTATACATTACGGTACATCGGTAGTTGAATCTATATACGGTACAGTATGATACGTTACTATACAATACGGTACAGTATGATACGGTACAGTAGTTACTATACAATACCGTACAGTATGATACGTTACTATACAATACGGTACAGTATGATACGTTACTATACAATACGGTACAGTATGATACGGTACAGTATGATACGTTACTATACAATACCGTACAGTATGATACGTTACTATACATTACGGTACAGTATGATACGTTACTATACAATACGGTACAGTATGATGCGTTACTATGGTTACTATACAATACGGTACAGTATGATATGTTACTATACAATACGGTACAGTATGATACGTTACTATACAATACGGTACAGTATGATACGGTACAGTATGATACGTTACTATACAATACCGTACAGTATGATGCGTTACTATGGTTACTATACAATACGGTACAGTATGATATGTTACTATACAATACGGTACAGTATGATACGTACAGTATGATACGTTACTATACAATACGGTACAGTATGATGCGTTACTATGGTTACTATACAATACGGTACAGTATGATACGTTACTATACAATACGGTACAGTATGATACGTTACTATATGATACGGTACAGTATGATGCGTTACTATGGTTACTATACAATACGGTACAGTATGATACGTTACTATACAATACGGTACAGTATGATACGGTACAGTATGATACGTTACTATACAATACCGTACAGTATGATACGTTACTATACAATACGGTACAGTACTATACGTTACTATACGATAAGGTACAGTATGATATGTTACTATACAATACAGTACAGTATGATGCGTTACTATACAATACGGTACAGTATGATACGTTACTATACATCACGGTACAGTATGATACGTTACTATACAATACGGTACAGTATGATACGTTACTATACAATACGGTACAGTATGATGCGTTACTATACATTACGGCAGGGGCCAGGGGGCCGCGAGATCCCGAGTGGGGGTCGCGAGATGATTACAAAATAAAAAGGAAATTAAAAATAATTAAAAAATTGTTTAATTTTTTTCTATTTATAAAAAAAATTATTATTAATAATAACGTTTACATAGACATTTTCAGGGGCGGACTAGCCATCTGTATAATTTCCCCGCAACGAGGCTCCCCCTTTGACAACCCATTAGCGCAGTGTTTCTCAAACTTTTTCATACCAAGTACCACTTAACCAACCTAACTCCACAAATATCCAAAAACAATAGGACCTGCTTACCCATTCCAACAGTATATAACAAATTACAGTAGTTTAAA